TGCCTTTGGTAGAATAGGGGTCTGCAGTGGCTGGGTAGCACTTGCAACCAGAAGTCCCTAGTGGTTGTATCAGCCTGCATTTGAAAGCGCGCAAACTTATGCCTCACATCGGTTTGGCCATAATTTTATGGTGGGCGGAGTTGAGCCAAGCGGAAGCTTTTTTCGCGGCTCCCATCGAGGAGTGATCTGGCCCAGCTTTCACGCTTCTAGAGGGCGATCCTCGGATAGACGCTAGATTGTTCGATAAGGCTTTTGAATTCTAACAGTCCGCTTCAGCATATTCTATATGGCAGATAAGGAGGAAAGGGTGATTAGAAGCTTTCCATTCCGCGTAACCCCTCTGCGTTAAGAGATCCTTATTCAGGGCTTGTGAAGACATCGCCAAAGAGCAACTGTGCAAGTTTCGCCGGTGTGATTTTTCTTGAAAGTGATATTCAGATTATCAGTCCACTCGCTCCCATGCTTCTGCCCATTAAAAACTCTGTAACGATCTTTATTTCCGCATCGGGGAGCTGGATGACCTTCTCTGCAACAAGCGGACTTGGGGGGTGTAGCGCTGGGTACACATTCAAGGACGAAAGTTCACAATTGTCTTTCGTCAAGGCTGCTTGGTTCATTGTGTTTTCTTCATCGAAAGCTTTACAAAAAACCACCGGTTTTGCGTTGAGTATCCTGACTGAAACAGGACATTCGCACCAGTCCTTTTGAGTCAGAAGTGGGGCTTTGTCCCGATTTTGGTAGCTCTCATTTTAGATACAGATTGCATAAGATCCTTAAGGTAGAGGCAGCTGGTGCGAGCAAACGGGTCACGAAAGTTATCTAGCTGGCTTATCTGGTCGTCCTGGAAACCCGTACGTTCAAAGTGCCACCTCACCTTGCGGGTTTGACATTGCATGCCACGTTGTACATTTGATAGGCGCCCATTTTGCCCACACCTGTTCCATAAATAGCTGTAGAAAGTAGTTTGTATTAATCTCTCTCATAAACGGGTCAAGTTATCTAGCTGGCTTATCTGGTCGTCCTGGAAACCCGTACGTTCAAAGTGCCACCTCACCTTGCGGGTTTGACATTGCATGCCACGTTGTACATTTGATAGGCGCCCATTTTGCCCACACCTGTTCCATAAATAGCTGTAGAAAGTAGTTTGTATTAATCTCTCTCATCATTGAGACTGGGTGCACCACAGGAATTGAGTGCCAGCTGACAGAATTTTTACGCAAAGGTTATGTTACAGTGAAAATTTCAACGAAAGGACACGTGTTGGCCATGTAAATACATTAAAGGGCGAGAGCATTCTTTGAAAAAATTGCACAGGTGACAAGCGAAACCTGGGTTGAAACTGCATAAGGTATACTTTAGGTGGTACTTCACACTAAAAACAAACCGCGGAACGCCAATATTTGCTATAGTTTGATTTCGTGCATTGCCCCGAAAGCTGGCAATAAAATACGATTTTTTCCGAAGGTCCGTGACCTTGAACTTTTATTCGATCGAAAAATTATGAGCAATATATCGTTAATGCACGCAAATGGATTGAAGAAACTCACTTGCAATACCCAAATTTGATAAGCCCGTGGTGAGGGCGAAAACAATGCCCATGTACTTCCAGTTTGCACTAATGAATAGTGACCCATAAGATTTCCCTGGTATTCTCCCCAAACTTTAGTGCTGTTGGGTTCACATGGCAAAATACAGTTGTACCACATCCATCCTTTTTTACATCCGAAGATCTATCCTCGTCTTTTGCAGCCTAGTATTGTCCATGCTGGTACACAGTGGACCCCTCGTGTTCGTGAGCTAAAATGTCTGCCACCACTGACCGACAAACCTTATTATCCCTACCGGAGTTACGGTGTATACATGACGAATCACGCGAGTAGTCCCCGGTTTGACGTCCAAGCACCACCCCGCCTATCTAATGGAGGATGAAGTTTGTTACAGAAATGGCGGAACCAACTTGCGGTTTTTACTCACTAGTGTATTGCAATCAAACAATAAGCGAAAAAGTTCAAGATAACGCATGAGAATGTCAGGGTTTTAAAGACTGTGTGAATATTAGACGTTTGCTTCCCTGTCTAATACCATCTAAACGCTTAGTTTCAGTTCGCTAATAAATAATTTTCCAGAAAAAAGCTTACCTCCCGGCATTTGGTGCTTGACCAGGATGGAAATGAAGACCACGTGGCCACAAAATTTAACGGTGGATATGTACTGATATTAAGGGGGAAAATTCCAGGATGTTGATAAGGCGGATGGATGAAACGGGTTGAGCCGGCAGCACTGGAGAACGCTGTGGCGTTTGGACATTTATTTTACTTCCATTATAGCACTGCGTATTTCATCAATTGCATAATCGTCTTTTGTTTGAATACGAAAAATTACAAAAACGCGCACTTGTACAATTTCACAGAATACAAGCGTGGTCACGTGCTTCGACTCTCTCTCTTCTGATTTCGCTCGCGCTTGCAGCGGTCATTCGCGAGTCTCATGTACTAACTCTGGTACCAAAACATTCAGACATCTGCGGAATCTATTATATGTGGGAACTGTTCAGAAGAAGACCTCTGGACCAACATAATTGGATTATTGTTTATTCGCTGACCTGGACCAACGACGAACTATTTTAAAGAGAACAATTGTTAATGAGTCTGTTCCGTCTGATCTCCTTATTTTTGTGTACCCAACCTAGCGTAATCATTTTTATTTCTTTGCCACACACTCCTGGTAAACTAACTTATTGGGTAGCCAGACCACTAGACGTTTCTCAGACTCCTTGCTAAGGTGACCTCGGATGCGGCCGAAAGGGGCCTTTGGAAGCTATACTGAGCTGACTCAAGAGAAGCTCTTGCAGCGGGTTCGGCCTACTTGCCGGCTGCCGGGCTGTGAGGCGTTTCGAGGCAGCCTGAAGAGGACTGGGCGCGAGCAGACCGTGTTCCTCTCCGTTATGATTGTTCCTTGCCATCAATGGTTTCGGTCCTTCGCCAGCAGTTTATGTCTAACCAGTTCTTTGAAAGTGTGCAACCGGCGCTTGTTGCTAAGTTGCGGTTGGCAAGAGCAACGGGCCATTTGAGCGTAAAAGAAGTGGTGAATGGGCACTGGCCGAGGTACTGTTGGCCACGTTGCATTCGCAGGGGAAGGAAAGGGTTCAACAGTAAAGAACCTGTAGACCAGAGTGGATCAACTGATTGCATAGCTTGCGCACCTGAGGGCAGAATCACGGAGACACTCGAACGAGCCGGTGCCATGCTTGGCCACTGGAAGAATCAATGACGCCGAATCCGACCGCCTGTAAATAATAACGCTTTCGATTACACCTCTTTTCCCGGGTGGGTTTTGATTATTGCTGTGATATATACTACAATACAGACCGTTATCAACATAGACAGGAAAATGAAGGTGCTCCTAATTGAGGCAGTGGGAGGGCTGCCACTGAGGTAGGAGGAGAGGCTAAATGCAGACCGTCAGAGAAGTGGATTATTACCGGCTTAAAACTGATGAATGGCCAATGCATTGAATGCGCCCAGGCAAAAGTTCAGTGTAGTACGATTTCCTGATCAGTCCAGACATAGATCGGATAATTTTCGGAGCGGATTTTCTCAATGACGTATAATCCGTGGTTTACCTGAAGCGGGGAAGACCGGTGACAAGTTATGACCCAGTCTGGGCCCCGGATAAATGAGGGCCATCCTAGCCGTGGCAAATACTTTCCATTAAGACCGATTAGAAACCTGTTGATTGGATCAGAATAACCGGGGATCTTCGCACAAGGCCGGTGCGCTGGGCTCTCCGGTTACAAGAGTACGACTTCACAATCCGGCACGTGCAATGGCAGGGGAACCAGCTAGCTAAATGACTGGCGAGACCAGATTAGACTCCGAATACGAGTGAAGAGTGAGGCCCTTGTCAAGTTTTTCTTAATAAAGTGAAAAGTAATCATAACAGTAACAGTGAAGGACTTAAGGATGAAAAGAACTTTCCAAGACTACATAATTACTGATATTGGTGAGCGTTCCAGCTAGTTTTCACACTGTGGACGTTCACTGTGGGTTAAAGATTGGGTGGTTCTATAAGCTGTCCATAAATTACTAAGGCAAGTTGTTACGCAGCTGGTTATGTTCAACACATGCAGATTTAGCTGCTAGCTTATGGTTTCGAATCCATTGACAGGTTAGAAAGATGGGCACTCCTGGTGATTTCCTCCAAAAATGAAACAGGCCTATGGGATTACACCGGTCTACTGAGCCCAATGGAAGGCGAAACCGGTAGTAATCCGTCAAGGAGTCTTCAGGAATTACTATACATATCCCGCAAAACCCCAAAATTCCAACCTAAAATTTGCCCAGTGGGGTTCAAGCGTGTGCCACGCTACCTGACTGGGAAGTCTTGACTGGTGGGTTAATCGATCGTCGCAACCAGGACAGTTACTGGGTCGTCGTTCGATCAGTCGGGCACACCAATCACATCGCTCAAGTGTGAACACGTTCGCCCGTTTAGACGTGATAATTCAGATGCGTCCAACGTGCGCTGGTGGAGTAGTGGTTACACGCTCGCCTCGCATGTCAGATGTCCGGGGTTCAAATCCCGGCATGGCCGTTGGATATGCACTGCTGATGAGCTCTAATAAGAGCGAAACACGAGTCCAGTGCTTCCCTTTGTTGTGGACTCACCGGAATACTTACGCCAGAACAGGAACATGGCCGTTCAAACGAGAGTGGTGTGGCTATGAACGAAATTACTAGTCTATGTCAAACTCCACAATTTTTAGCTTTCCAGAATAGAATGGCTTCAATTGCAGAATCAAACAACTATTGAAATCGGGAGTACCAAGCCTTCTCGAATGGAAGAATCGTGCTTAACTAAGAATACAAATCGTGGTGCTTAGAAATGTTGTTGAGAAAACAATTGTTCATTCATGATAGGCTAGTTCGAACCCTGCTATCACAGTGACGAACAAAAATTTAAACTGCTGACACCAGTTATCAAAAACTGACTGTGCTATTCAAAAGGCAGTTTATTTGTGAGAATTAAGTTTCGTACGTATATCGGTATAACCAGACGGACTAGAAATCCAGAATTCAGCGCAGCGTAACAACCAGCACGTATGTATTCGAATTGGCGAATATGTACAGCATATGGAATATTAAAACAAGAGAACAGTAAGTAGAGCAATGAATAGAGTAGCAGTCATGTTCATCACATTATTATAATGCTTTGGCATGTTGTTTCAATTAAGGAACTCCTTTTACTAGCATAGAATCGTACGATTGCCAGAAATTTCTCTCAGTTACTTCACTCGTTGGCTTGGCAATAAGTGTAGAACATTACTTGATACGAAGGTTGTAGACACGATAATTCTAAACCGTGCACTCCGAGTGTAAGCCGGACACGCTGACGACATTGTTTTCGCTCGTGAGATCATCTCTGTCCGAAAGCTCTCCGTGGTCGCTAACCGGAGTGAACAAACATGTGATTTCATACCAAAATTCATCCATTTTACCGGGGATTCCTAAATCTCGAAATGTTGTCTACCCAGGTCAACAAAACCGTAAACTTGTTGACTTCCAACTATCAGTTCCAGCTGCATTCGATTCCAAGCATACAGAATCGCTTTAACAAACTCGTCTCCCGATATTTTCCCCATTTTGTCGTATTTCTCACTCAATGCCGGATGAAGGCCGATTTGATTGGGGTTATCAGATCACTGGAACATGTCTGCGGATGCATTAGTGGGCATAACTTCATCCAGGGACCATCTTTATCCCTACTATAAACTCTAGTTATATTGATCTGATACACATAGGATTCTACTAGCGTAGTGGCCCCTATTCATTGTTGTATCCACGTCTCGGACACAACCTGAATATCAACTACTGTTTAGTGGAACGGAAGCGATTGAAGATCCTGCGATTCCTGAGAATGTTGTTAGCCATCATCCATTGAACTGTGTCCTCCCGTTTCATTAAGCCTCTTTGAAGCAAGTATTCGTGCAGTCTGTTGTACTTGTTCCGGATATTTTTTGATTGGAAGTCATGCTCTTTGAGTTCGTTGGGACTGAATTCAGTGTAGCTCATCCTAACTACGTGAGTGGGAAAAATATTTAGGCAATGATGCCACCATCTGGAGACAGGATAATCAGAAAATATCAAGGATCATGAGAGGACATTTGAAGTTTGTCTGTTTATGGTTGTTTTTGCTAAAGTCCTCGCTGGGACTGACTAAAACAAAAAAGATGTCAGCTGTTTTTGGTCCCTCAAGATGGATGGAGTCCCTTGGAGAGACACAGGCATAATCAGAATATAAACATTTTATACGTGTGTCTTCCGACTGCAACACATGTTTCAATGTAGACAGTTTGCAAAGGTCAAAGTCAAAAACAGTTTATCAGGGATCAGTGGAGAGAAAAAACACCCAAAGCTAAACTGAACAAATGGAGCAATGATACGACAATGATTCAAGTGTTTGCTTAATGGCTTCCCATGAAAAATCAGAAAGGTGTGTCAGGACGTGACTTTATGTAATCTGCAAGCTTTGGCTTCTCCTTCAACACGGCTTCGCGCCACTCCAGAAGTTTGGGGTATTTCTCTTTCAGAAATTCAGGATCCGCTTTGTCCACGTGATCCAAGCATGCCAGCAGACAGAGGTCGCCCAGGGTAACTTTGCATCCAGCAACGAACTTGCCAGCAGACTCACTCAGTGACTGTGAAATAAGCTGTAATGTTGAAAGAAATTCAAGCAGTCAGTTTTGATGGGGAATATATTATAGCCTTGGAGTTCACACAAACAACGGAACGCACACGTACAGACGCACAATAATCCACATTTATATGTCAAATTCACTCGCATCACTACAATACTTGGGCCTGGAATCGTTTGTTTAATAAAATATTCTGAGGTGTACCATTAATATCTGCATTCCTCCTAAACCTAACTGTACCCTTCCATCAAAAGGTTATGGTTCGATCCCTCTACGCCCATCTAGCGTGTCCTAATAAGGACGGAGACACTCGGGTGGCTAATGTTTCCAGTATACGATGCAAGATCTCAAGCTCATAGCCTGAAAACTATCAGGTCCCCTGGACCGTGGACTTCTGAGTTGACAAAGCCCTCTGACTATTCAGAACCACAATTTGATTAGTTGTGTGATTGTCTGAAGGAAACAACACGTAGTTCGGTAAACAATCACATCTAAAACCTTCGAAACATTTGAACAGATTTTCGGTAGTGGCAACTCACTAAAGATTGCCTGACATTCGTTTCCTTATTACTGCATCTCCTGTTTGTGTTGAATAACCATAAAAATGCTGTTTTCAAAGATATTCTAGAATGGC